ATTTAGGTATGCATGCTCATAGCATGAGTTTCAAGCTGATCGGTCCAGGCCTGGAACCATGTTGGGCCACGTGGGAGTCCAGTGCCTTAACACCAGCTGCTGGCCCCTTAAATAAAATTTTCCCAGAGTGTGCATGCACTCTCTGGAGAGAAGGAAAATGAAAAAACACTGTTCTCTCCCCGACTGGGAATGGTCATGCCACAGTCCCTTCTCCATTTGTCCCTTCTTTTGGGATTTTGGATGTGGATAAACATGTACCCAGCAGCATATTTTTCAAACCGCTGTGATCTAGATTCGAACTGCTGTCAGCTCATGTGAGGTCCTTATACACAGGGCTTAACTAGCATGCTGCAGGGCCAGCTTTGAAATATTTCTAAGTACTAATTCTAAATGTAATCACAGCTTAATTGGAAGTGGTGTGTTTTTTTCCTTCATGGTTCATAAAATAAGATCCATCTTAAATTTTATGAGATCTTAGATTTAAATGGTTCTCTATTCCTGTAATACAAGTTTGCATGAAAACAACTTTCGCTCTTGTTATTTTATCGAAACAATTTTTGGTTATTGTTTATTTTCTCTTACACTGAATTTCTACTGAGTTCTAGCTTTTATTGGATGAATTTTATTTATCTTTTTTTTTTTTTGAGAGGTTTTCACTCTAAGGCGTGTGCGCTTGCCAGACAGAGACAGAGAGACAGAAAGTGAGAAATCACCCCCCAGCAGGGATGGCCACGGCGCAATCCCTTCTCTTCTGTTCTCCTTTCGGGTTCTTGGGCACGCACACACAAGCGCCTGGCGTGAGTTTTAAGCCGGGTCCGGGAAGCGAACCGTGGTTGACCACATGGGAGTCCAGCGACGTAGCCATTACGCTAACTGCTGGTCCCTTAATATTTAATGTTTAAGATGCATTGAAGCTATTTTGAAGGCACAAATAAATTGAAGATACTATGGTTCTTCCAACCCCTCTCCCCCACCCCCAGAAAGACAGAGACAGAAAACAAGAAATCACCCCCCAGGCTGAATGGCCACGCCACAGTCTCTGTCCTCCATTCTCTTCTCGATCTTGGGCATGCACGTACATGCGCCTGTTGTGAGTTTAAGTCGCTGGGTCCGGGACGCGAACCACAGTCAACTACATGGGAGTCTGGCAACATAGCCATTACGCCAACTGCTCATTCTCTGACTTTTTTTAAGAAAACTACTCTTTGTGTTATGCAGCTTTACTTTTGCATATAGGATTTTATTTTATTTATTCAGCTTTTGAACCTGAGGATTGTTATTTTACGACACTGGAACATTGTGAGCCACTACATCTTTATATGTTGTCTATGACCCATTTTATTCACTGACTCCTTCCACACGTGATTTTAGACATACAATAAACTTTAGCATTCTTAACCTTACTTTCATATTTTCCATCTCCATGTCTCTGTGCCATATTATGTGTCATATCTAGTGCTCTCGATTTTAGTACATTATCCAGTTACATTTAATGCCAAGTTCTCTTTCTGCTTTTATCAGTTTTCTTTTTTTTTCCTCTTTGCTATGGTGAGTTCATTATTTATTAAGAAAGAATCCCTAGGATTTAGATTTATGTGGGAAGTCTTGGGTACAACTCTGTATGTGGTGTTTAATTTGTCTCTTGTTCTACATGGCTGTTGAAACCAAAGCTCTAAGGCAAAAACCTCTTAAAAAAATAGAAATGATAGTTTATATGGAATGGCATATTATTAGATAGGATATGGATTCCAGTTATTTGAGATTGTTCCTTAAAGAAGACATATTAATATCTCTAATATTTTTAAGACCAAAGGTAGAAAAGTTTAATGGTGGTTAAACAAAGTTTAACAAAGTTAGCTTTGTTTCATGTTAATCGTTTAGGGACTTGGGTTATTCTTTTGTGGTTTGCCATCATCAGTTTGTTTCCCTTGACTACTTGGTCCAAGATGTCTTTGAGCTTGTTCTGCATTCCAGGGAGCTAGTCAGAATAGATGGGAACCATGGCTTATAGTACTGCTCTGTCACCAAAGGGGCAAGTAAACTAAGCACATGGTTTAAATGCTGGGTAAGTCAGTTTGGTAAATCTTTGGGCATTTGCTATAGGAAGCAAATTTTGCTAGGTGATAGCAGAACACATACAGATGATTAATACGCCTGCCTTTCTGCACAATACACAAATAACAAGAATGTAGTAGGTAAGAGTGTGCTCTGGAAGCTAACCTAGATTGAGTTTACTATCTTGTACCTGTTTCATTGAACAAGTTGCTTAGTCTCCATAATGTTCATTTCTTCATTGTACAAGTGAAACCCTCTGCAATCTAATAGGGTTGTTAGAACCTTTTAAAAGAGATGTTAACATTTTGCATAAAATTAAATTTTTACTGTTACAAAATGTCATATGATAGAAGCATTGTGCTAAGACCATACTTAGAGGCAAGATTGATCACCTCTAGTTTGTAATTGTGGAACAAACAGCAGAGCTTCCTGGAGATGGTGGCATTTAAGTGCATCTTGTGTAATTGATAGGATTTTTAGGATGGCAAGGATGGGATAAGATTTCCTAGATGGAGAAGGATGAATTTCAAACAAAGTAAGGAAGTTGGGAGAATGTATGGTACACCCTGAAAGCAGAAATGCCTTATCAATAAACTCATATTTCCATCACACCCCACACTACCTTCTCTGGGCAATTGCATAAACTAGTGAAAGATGGGGCCAGCAGGTGTCCTGGTGGCTAAGGTGTTAGATTCGCACATGGTTGAACATGATTCAAGTCCTGTACCCCACAGCTTCAGAATTGTGCTGAGCTGGTGTATGGGCATGCCCTAAATCCCAGGGAGAGAATGGAAAAGAAGGGAGTGTAGTGTGGCCATCCTCTCTGGGGATGATTTCTCACTTTGCCTCTCTGTCTGTCTCTGGCGAGTGCACATGCCCAATGGCAAAAACCAAAACACTAAAAAATAAATAAATTAGTGAAAGATGTTGTCTGTTTTTACTGAAGCCTTGCTCCGTTTCCTTCCATCTCTGCTGTAGGAAGGTAGTATTCTCTCAAGTCTTGACTTTCTAGGTGTAATGCTTCATGACTCTGAATAAACTCTTCCTGCATTGCGAATGAATATCCATGCCACCCCTCCTATCCCCTAGATTGTATATATCTTGAGAGCAGGGGAAGAATATTTTATTTATTTTGGCTTGTCCAACCCTGAGTATTGTCCCTCGTACCAAGTAAATGCTTATTTTGGAGTGTGGGACAGTAAATGAATAATCCTGATTGAAACACTTCCTAGTAAATTTTAAAAAAATTTAAATATGAACTTTTGAAATGGATGTTGTCTAAAAATATTTTGACTCCCTGAGTTCATGAATACCTCTATAACATATGATTTGTTTATTCAGAAAATTGGGAGAAATGAGGACTTAATGAAATTAAATTACCATGTTTATTATGTTTTATGAATGTTTACGAAATTTTTATTGTTTCTTGAAAGATACGTAGAATTGAAAGAAAATGTACCATATAATCCCAGGACAAATTTTTGTATTAAAAAATCACATAAACAACAAAATCACTCAGCTGTTTGTGCTGGTTTGGGCTTTAAACATTGCGGATTCTTTTTCTCAGATCAGTGATTGACAGCAGCTGTGAGGTAAGTGCCCTAGTTCTATCACACTTAGGGGAAGATGACTCTGAGGAATATTCTACACTGTCTTCCCGAGAGCCACAGCAGGACTGAATCCGGGTTGCCCATCCATAGTCACATTCATAATGCATCCTTTTTTAAAGTTTGAAGTATTACAAAAAATTATATTATTCATTAAAGAGAGAGACAGAGAAGTACCCTGAATAGGGTCTGGTCATGTAGTAGTCCCTTTCCTCATGCCTTTAGCAGGATCTTAGACATGTGCATACCCATGCCCAGCAACTTACAGGTTAGCTGGACTGGGAATCCGAACCCACAGTGGACCATGTAGCTTCCAGTAGTGAAGTCCATTACACCATGAACTGTGCTATCTATGCTGGCCCCATAATAAATTTTTTATTGCCTTTCCTTCCCTACTTCACTTGTCTACTCCCTTACAGGTGTTTTCTTGGGTAAAGTCTCAAACTATTTGTACTAAAACCTTTTTGTCTTAGTGTCTCTTTCTTCGGCAATGCAATGTAATAGAAAATGGCAAGAAGCATTTTTATAATAGTTAAAAATTTGTAAGCTTTAGTATTCAGTGTAATTTATAATTGAAAATTTAGAACTTTAGAGAAATTTCTCATATTAGTATGTAAGTTTTACCTTTTTGTTTTTAATAGAGAATATTTACTAAAACACATTTGCTTGGTTGTTGCTATAACATATGCTAGGTTGTCACATGTTTTCCATTTTTGAAAAACTGGGGTCAGTAGACAGTTCCTGTTAGGATACATGTTGGCATCTCTCTATTTTGTACCACAAAAGGAATTAGGATGGTTAAAGCCCAAGATGCAAATTACTAGCTGTTGTTTTGGAACTTTTTTTTTTTTTTTTTGTATACTAAAATGTGTTCTAGGTTCATATTGTATGTTTCCTTTGAATTGTAATTGCCTTTCTAGCAGTACTGAAAATAAAAATTAAACCAAGAAACAACTAGAGAAAGAATGCAGATGCAAACAAGAGGGAGTAGGTAGGATAGCATAGTTTAAACATTGTTTATTCCAGAAAAATAGATTTTAATTTTAGATTTCTCCAAAGAATTTTGCATTTGATATGTGTGTGTGTGTATGTGTATATATATATATATGCATTTTTTATTTCAGGGCAAATGTGACTAAATAGAAACCAGAATATTTCTTCAAATTGATTGGATTTTATGGCTTCTGCTGACTTACCACTATTATTTTGGTGTTTCAGAAATGTAACTGTATTGAAATGTACAATAAGAGTTTTGAGAACTGAAACATCTGGGATATCATATTTTATATTAGTTATATCATATGCATTAAATAAAAATGCTTTTCCCTTCCTTTACAGAATGCTGCCTTTTTATATGGTCTTGGTTTGGTCTACTTCCATTACAATGCATTTCAGTGGTAAGTTGACATAGAACTAAATAACGTCCAGTTATTTTCAGTAAATGGCTTGTTATTTTTTGTTTCTGCTTTCTTTAAGCTTCAATGTGTGCATGTATATGTAATAAATACAAAATATTTTAGTGTCAGTAAGCCTACATTTTTAAATAGTTTCTTGAAATGATTAGATTGTTTCTTCAGAGGTATGGACCCAACTTATATGATTAGAATTGTATATGTTCCTAAAAGAATCTGGTATAAAATTTCTGATTAAAGAAGGCTTAGATTAGAAAACGTTTTGAAATGGGACCAGCAATTGGCGTAATGGCTGTGATGCTGGACTCCCATGTAGTTGACTGTGGTTCAAGTCCTGGACCTGGTGGCTTAAACTCACTCCGGGCACGTGTGCGTGCGTTCCCAAGATCCTGAGAGGAGAATGCAAGAGAAGGGATTTCAGCGTGTCCTTCCCTCCTGGGGGCTGATTTCTCGCTTTCTGTCTCTCTGTCTCTCTGTCTCTCTTTGTCTTTCTGGTGAGCTCTCATGCCCTCTAGCAAAAACCTCTCCAAAAAAAAAAAAATATATTGAAATTTCTCAGTCACTTATTACGGACTGGTGGTCCCCAGGTTATTTGAACTAGTGAGTGTATATGATCCATGATGATGATTATTTTTACTTTTTAAGACTTTTAGGCAAGATTGACCACTCCTCCCTGCCACGCACTGACTAGCACTTTACAATTTTCAGTAACTAGGCACCAGATTATAAACAAATAAGAATAGTGGTACTGTTTCAGAGTTAGAGATTAAATATGATAGTAACGTAGAAGACTTTATAAATGGTAAAGTGTAGAGCCCTGTTGTTATGGCCTTTGTCCAATTTTTTTTTCCAGAGAAGGTAATAGCATGCCATAATGGAAAGAACATAGAATTTGCATAGGAAGATTGATGTTCTGGTAGAGGCACTGTAACTTAGTTTGATTTTGAATTAAATAACTTTCCTATGTCTGTTTTCTCACTTGTTTAAAAAAACAAAACAAAACAAAAACTAAATTGCAATCAGATACCTCTTCAACTTTACAAAGTTTTGATGATCAAGTGAGATAATGTACATTTTGTAAACTGTAACCCTATGTAGACATATAAAAAAATATTGAACTGAATCTTTGTCAAAATCCCTTCTGGGCTGTATAATTTTAAGCTAGTGAGGGCTATGAAAATCCAAAGGAAGGTGATTTGAGTGTTCCGCCAAAGGTTATGACTCTGTTAAATATCTGTTATAACTGAATATTTATTATAGAACTTTTATATATGATTTGATATGGTTTCCCCTAAAGATAAAATTTTAGACATGGATGGCTTTTCCTAGTGTACTTTCTTTCCCCCTTAGCTTTTGGTCCTGTTGGCTTTTGATCATGTATAGAAGCACTGCATTGTTAGAGAACTTCTGTGTGTATAGAGTATTATACTTATTCAGATCACTGGTTTTCTTTGTAAACTTACAAAGCTATAATTGATCTTTATAAAAGAAGCTCTGTAATTTTTTTGACTTAAAATTTCCCTTGTTTTACAGTGATGCTAAATTAAGCCACTTAACTTCACGTCCAACATATCATATTTAAAACCAAGGATAGATAAGGACTGTTTAAAAAATGTTTGTAGTTTCTTGAAGATCCTACTCATAGAATTCAAAATTCTAAACTTAGAATCAGAAGTCTTAGAGATCATTTAATTTTTTCCTCCTTTATTTTGTAGATGTAAATGTGTGTATGTATGTATGTGTTTAACTCAGTTTTATTTAACTGTTGGGTACATTCATATAGTGTAAAGGTCACCATGTTTGCTCAGAATGGACATCACGTGCCATGCCCCGCACTGCTAAATGAATGCTTGCTCTGAGTTGGGGGGCTATGGATTAGAGAATAAATATAGTAATAAATACACAAAAATACACAAGTAAAGAAACGGGGGGATCAGGTGGTCCAGACTTCTCTGATGGAGACAGCCACAGCCCGGGTTTATTCTTTTAAAGGACAGAAAATAGGGAAGTGGAAGGGCAGTGAAAAGCCAGTCATTTTCAGATGTTAATTGGCTGAAGTTGTGAAGACATTTGACAACATGTAATTCAGTGTAAGTTTTTCCTAATCTTCTTGGGCAAATTCTGATTAAACACGTGTTTGAACACTTCCTTTAAACAGATACTACTTTGCAGTTTTGGACACAGGCAGCTAGCATATTCACATGTTAAAGGCATTCATAGCTTTGGAAAAGAACTGCCCATGGAATCTCCTTTCTGCATGTGTCTAAAGGTTACCATGTTTTTGCTCAGAATGGCTGCCCTCTACAATATAGGCTTTTTTTCCTTAAAGAATTATTTTATTGAAATTTATTTATTTATTCATTTACATTTGAACAGAGAAGGATAGAGAGAAAAGAGAGAAAGAGAGGGAAAATGAGAAAGCAAGCTGCCGGGCCCAGGACTGGAACCACGGTTGGCCATGTGGGAGTCCAGCCCTCTTAACCACCATACCACCTGCTGGCCCCTACAATGGTCTTTATGGTCAACTAGAAATAATTTAGATAAAACTCAAAGCAAGGAGCTCTTCACTATAGGGATGGATTTATATATATCATACCAGTAGTTTTCACATACATGTAACCTGTGAGTCACCTATAGACTGAAGAACGTAAGAACAAAATTAGCAGTGATGTCAAGCTGTCATCAGTTCAGGATTTGATTGCTTTAATAAATATGTGACATTGTTAAGTTAGAGGGTTCATAGCTGTGGAAAATTATTATATTTTTTGATTCCTTATCTACATAGGATTGTTATATCCTTCAGAAATGAAACAATGATATAAGGACAGTGCAGTGTCTGAATTAACAAGCACCTTCTGCTCTGTTGATCCTGTCCTGGTCACTACCATTTTCTCATGTCTTGAGTTTTCAATTTTATACCTGCTTCCTAAAGTGAGTTATCTAACACCTTGTCTATGAATTCATCCTAGTTGTACGTTTTCTCTTTTGCTGATCAACTGTTGCTTCACACACTGTTTCTTAACATTTCTCCTTTAACTTATCTTGCTATTTATTTAACAGCCACAGAATTAGGAAGCATAGAGTAGGTGCTGAGTGAAAGTTTTAGAGTATAATCTTTCTTCGCTGGAGTTACTTAGATTAAAACTACTTTTGCGTTTTATTTGTAGATACCTATTGATTCTTTGGGATGTTTCTTGAGACAAGTATGGTGCTGGTGGTGGTGTTTGTTTATTTATTTACTTTTTTTTAAAATTGTATTATCAACACAGAGTCTACCCAGAATGTCTCCAAGTGTTGTATTTCTGGTTCATTTATAATTTATTACATTTATATAATATACATAATATATATAGCTTATAGCCATATCTAAATTCTAGAGGACTTAAAAAACTTAATGAAAAAGTGGAATTAAAGTATGAGTTCATTTTGGTGCAAAACTTTTAAAATCCTTGTGTAGTTTTTTAATATACTAATTTTTCATGAACGTTGTGACAATTGCCCTAAAAATCGTTATCAGTTATCTCTGGTCTATAATCTTTCATATTCTTCCTGTCGACTGAAAATAACCACTCTAAAAACTTAATAATTAATGCGGTTTATTTCCAAGCAGAACATGAGTGATCTAGCCCTGGAGAGGAGGCAAACATGCCTTTCTCGAGGGTGACCAGGTACAGGGGTTCCTTTTATTTGATTTTTTGAGAGTGACAAAATTAGTGAAGAGATTTCCATTGGTCTGGCCCAAAGAGGTGGGACATAAGGAAGATGGGGAGGAGGCTTGTAAGTTATAGGTGGGTTCCACAACTTTTGGGCTAGTCATTGGAAGGGGAGGTCTGATCCTGGAAAGAGATTCATAAAAGAAATGCTTAATCTGCATCTCAAGGAAAGGGAAGTTCTGTGTCTTGGGAAGGGATAAGCAAAATAATTTACTGTAATTGGTTGAAATATACATCTCAAAGATACTATGCCAGGGACAGGATGTAGGAAGAATCCTGTTAATGAATAAAAAAATGGTCTGTTAATGTTTGTGGGCATGACTCCCTCTAGGCCTTCTGGAAAGGACTTTGGAAAAATAGGAAAAAGAAGTCAGATTTCTGTCCACATTCCCACTGACCAATCAGAGTGGTTTATAGTGGTAAAGGTAGGAGGTATAGGCATAGGATTTGGGAAAGTAATCTTTAAAATCTAATTATAGGCCTGATGAGGAAATGTAGTGATATTATTATTTTGACATCAAAAAGACAGGAAGTGTTAACACATTACCAACAAGTTTCTTTAGGATGTCTTCCCATAGTGTTATACCAAACACGAGTGTCCTTAGGGATATAGGTATTTCTTTCTGGCCTTTATCGTCATCACTTTGTGTGCAATAAAGTAAAAGAATAGTAGTTTTAAAGCTTTTTGATGGAATGAAAGAAAATAATGCAAACATAAACCTAATATAGCTGTGATACCATTGATTCTGAGGCTCATCTAACATGGAGTCTGGCAAAAACTAATATTTAATATATATTTTTGAGCTATCATAAACATGCACTTAGATCTATAGTTTAATTTTAATCATATTTTTATTAATACAAAACAGTTGATGTTAAGGTGTATTGTAATAATTAAGTTTACTTCTAGTTTGAAAAATACTAGCAGATTTACCTAAGGCAGTTCTGATAAAAAGTTCTCATGTTTACCAGTGACACATAGATTGCCAGAAAGAATTTGGAAGGGCTTCAGTTAATTAAGCTTCAGTGAAATTATGAATAAAAATATAAATCTTGCACTACTGGAGGGAAAAAAGTATCCCATTGCCTGGAGTGATGAAATGAAGATTGGCTGGAGAGAACAAAAGAGCCAGGAGTGGTAATACATTGGTAAATGTCAGTGAGAGTAACAGAGTATATTTCTAACTTTAGCCTCTCATTTAATGCCCTTCTGATTCAGCCTCATATGATCCTTTTAGCTTACTGCTCTCTTAAATGTATTCTTTGTGCTAA